AAAAGTTCCAATTAAGTCAAGTATTACAAAGAAAAATTGGCTAGAAAGGTGGGGCTTGAAAAACCAAGATTTAGAAAATAACAGCTCTTTTACTTAACACAAACTCTAAATAATAACCCCACTACAACTAGTAAACAATAACCTATCAGTACAATAAAAAATGTTGGCCTAATTCAACAGAGTTAAGCTAAAAAAGTGGCTTGAGTGAAATGTACACAACAAGTAGGCTATGACATCCATTGTAGAACTAAAATATGCACTCAAACTATCGTTTATGAACATTATTTCAATATATAAAGGCTTTGCAAAGTCCTCTGAGGGATCATTCAGCAACTTTAACAAACGAATAGGCTACTGTGATTGTTTTACTTACCCTGGCAGCCATGAATGCAGCGAAACAAGGGTGAGGACAGCCGGATGTGACGTTTATGACGTTTCTTTATGGGATTTTATATGTGTGCATAGAGGAGTTTCGTATCCAGGGGTATATAGTATCTATGATTCTAGGCACAAGTCCGTGCACGTTCCGCGCGTTCACGTGCTTGGTTCAGCGTGCGGAACGATCCGCAGCAATCCGCATTCTAGTAAGGTCGTCACTCTATGGAAGCCCAGAAGGACACTCCGGGGTCGGGGACAAATATCAGGGCCGAGATTCCGCCGGTATCGGGGCCGAGATTCCGCCGGTATCGGGGCCGAGATTCAACAGGTGTTGGAGGGTGGTTGGACCCCCCCGCTTGCGCAGCTAGCACTAAGTCAGGTCGCAATCACGCACTGACTTACCAGCTGTACTGCTATGGAAGACTTTGAGTTGGTTTATACCGAAAATGATGAGACTTTCGACACATTTGATGACCTTAGCAAGGATGAAGGTATACCACATAACAGCCTATTATTTTTGTTTTATGTTATCATAAGATACTGACAGTGATACACAAAGCTCTGACATAGATGCAGATAAATAAACAGACAATTCAGTAGTATGATAATATTAGTTAGTATTATTTAATTATGAAACTCTGTTGTAGACATAGGAGCTATAGATATTTCAGAAGTTC